CTCACTTAAAATCCATCGTTGAGAACTGAAATTCTGCTGAAAATTTAACGACGAACAAATTTGATCAAAAACAATTGATTCGACTAGATAAACACCTTGTCTAGTCGTTGCTTCTCGCTGTTCTGGTTCTATTTGCTCGACCAGAGTTGTTGAATCAGACGCATGTTCAGCATATGACATTTTCAATCAATTTCCGTTTATTCAATCACCGTATCACCGTTACGATAGATATCTGATTAATCCAACAAATCAAAATTCCTCCCTTTCGAATTCAAATACGCACCAGACTAAAACGCCTAACCGGACCACAATCACCCACGCAATACTCATAAAATGAGTTACATTTTCATTTCTCCAAAACCTGCGAAATTTCCAAATTTCTTTGCCTACGTTTCTGCAACATCTTTCATCAAAAGACTTCATGATTTGAATCGTCTGCGAGAAATTGTACAATATTCTGCAAGTCGATTGTAAATTCCGACAGGTTTTTCAGCCGCTCTCAATTTGCATAATTATTCGTGTTTATATCAACGTCTAAAGAAAGTGTTCCAATATGGGAGGAAAGTGTTTATTTACGTATTTAAGCAAGTAAAATTGCAGCCTGACCTACCAAACTCATTAAAATATCATCCGATCGTAAACAACACTGAATTACTTACAATTAGTAAACCGGAGATCACAACGATGTGCAACGTTTCGGCGTTATACCGTCGTCAGGAATATCTTTTGAATCAGTTGATTCAAAAAGATTTTCCTGAAGATGGCATAACGTCGAAACATTGGACATCGTTGTAATATCTCGAGTTGCGCACGTAATGTTTTGTCAACAACACTACGTTACAGTCGGATTCACCAATTACCATTATGCGCGTTAAAATGAGGAAAGCTTCCAGCAGTTGTTAAAGTCGAGATTGCCATCAGCTATGTTTGATATATCTCGTAGTTTTCAGTGAGGTGTTTGATAACGAGACTTTTATGGTGAATGAGTTGGATGAGGATCGTCTTGTAGTCAGTTACATTCGTCAGAAAGAACATTTGGAACGTTTGAAGACGAACATCGCAGAGCGGATTTCAGAATTGTTCTACTTTGCGATTTCATCGTTAAGCAAGAAGGTGACATATTTACTGATCACGCATGCGTTCATCCATCCCTCATCACTTCCATTGCTTTTCGTACGTCCAATCATTTGCATTCATTTGCAGAGTTATAAACCCGTCGATTTGAGCATGTTGACGAATGCGTCTCCGTCCAAAAAACTGAAAGCAATGCCGAAGGTTGAAATACAAACTCTTATTTGTTTCCATTTTTATTTCATTCCGCACAGCGCTTCGATTAATTAAATTTGTTCATCATATCAGAGCAGTTCGGAGTATGAGTTGCATGTCTGGAAAGTGGCAACTGAAATTAGAATATGCTAGTTTAAAGCGCCTCAGGTGATGTAGCTCCCGGCTGGGTGCAATCTCATTTAATAATCACAATGATGTTATGAAAGGATTGCAAGTGCGTTTCACATCGATCCAAAACCCGAATGATAACTCAAAAACAACATTGGGATCGAACCAACAAATAGCGATGAATTAACATCACATCGATAGTCAATTTCAGAGTGAAAATCGTTCCCTTATCGATCCATCGAAACGTAAACGAACCCGTCCAACTGGTTTGCAACTCCCGGATTGATTTGGCAAGCTATCAGGCAATTTGTCCTATCACTGATTATCACTTATTAACTTCTCATTAAATTTCTCACCGTATGATTTCATTGCTTGGAATAAGCAGTTGTGTAATTGATGCTGTAAGATTGTTTGATTATCCCTTAATGATTGTCACCGTACCTATAGCTTGACTTTCTGTATCTTTTCAATCCATTCGTGGATGTTTTTGAAGTTCTGTGATCTTTTATCTGTTATCATCAGTTCTGTCAATTTTTTATCTTATTGAGCTGGCTTTTGTTATGTGTTCTTTCACCAAATCTACCCTTTTGAGTGATGCTTCATCCCTCCCTTCCAACTTATCATCAATTTTGTCTTGTAATCTGAATAATCTTTCCTATTCATTGATTTCATTTATCACCGTTTTAATCTTTGTGATTATTGCATTATTTGATCAAATTGTTTCAGTTATGTGCACTGTAATTTCTTCAGTTTTGAAGAATTTTGATTTCATTTGATTGTTTGATTCTGTACACTCTTTGCATATTTTGCATTTCAATTACTATCGTAATTTGATCAAACTGATTATTTTGATGTCAGTATTATTGAAACCAATTCTTACTTTCTACATTGTCCTTCTAGCAGTACGCTTCACTATACAGTGTGTCTGCAGTGTTGCGATACCAATTGATTCGTTCTGTTCAACTATGTATCCTCAAAAGNTATTATTGAAACCAATTCTTACTTTCTACATTGTCCTTCTAGCAGTACGCTTCACTGTTCAACTATATAATGTGTCTGCAGTGTTGCGATACCAATTGATTCGTTCCATTCAATTATGTATCCTCAAAAGGTTTCTCTACAGTTTAATGTGCAACCGTAACTTCCTCTTGCCTCCGTCTTGAGTAATATTATGTATGTGCATTTTTCAGCAATGATCTGTTTGTAAATGATATCTTACATTTACTGATTATTCGAAATCGTATGATCAGTAACGAGCAAGAATTGCATTCAGACCAGATGGTGATTCGTTTGGCTTGGTAACGAGCAATTAAATAGCAATTTGAATTGTTCTTATTGACGTACAAAGGCACATTTCATCGTTGTTCTTGTTAATTATACTTTTGAAACATTCTGAACTTAGCGAATTACATGATTCGATACCAAGTATTGCAATCTAATTTAATTGTAAATAATCGAACTTCACTGCTTGCTGTAATATCAGGCAAAGCAATCACCTCAATTGTTTTCTGATCGACGAAAATGTTCGTTCACCTCCCGCAAAAGTATTCAGACGGAAGGAACACTTCAACTTCAACAAATTCGTCGCTAGTCATTGAAAGTGATTTGCTT